ATGTGGCTCTCAGGCTGGGCAGCAGCAGCAATGAGAGCCATGTGGCCAAAGAGCCACACCAGGAAGTGCCTGGCACTGCCTTGGCCCCAGCCTGCCCCACCCTTGCCCTGCAGGCAGATCTGGGGGGCATGTGCCCCCCGCTCCCCATGGCCTCCTGGGCTGTGTGCCCCTCCTCCTCATACCTTCCAGATAAGCCACTCATGGGTTTGCCCTGTGCCCACCTCAGCTGTGCAGGGCCTGACCCTGCTCCACTCCCTCACTTGAGGGCACATGACCCCTGGGTCTCTGCTTGTCCCACCACCCAGTGTGACCAGGCCCACTCCACCCAGTCACTACTCCTGCCTGTGCCCTGCTCCCTCCCTCACCGCTGGGGCCTCAATTTGCCCTGCCCCTGCCATGGCCCTTTCCCCTCCCCCTGCTCCTTCCCGCAAAGATTTACCTCCTGGGGGGGCACATCCCATAATAATCTTTTTTCCCTCCACCTTGATCTACCCCACCTTCCCTCCCCACAGACTGACCTGCAGGGCGGGGGCGGGAGGGTGGTGGTGCAGATGTTGGATTGCTTTTTAATTCAAAAAATGATATGCTACCCAAAATGATTGGAGACCACTGTTCTATGGGGTCCCAGGACTTGTGACAAGAACACCCAGTTCCAGTTATGAGGCAGGAGCTAATTAGCACATGGCTCCTTTATGGTGGGGCAGCATATCTGGAGTATAGACATGTACTGAATAGCGTTGGGCTGTGGGGCCACTCTGGCTTGAAATACTGTTGATTCTGCTAGGGTCCAGCCCAATGAACTGCATGAAAAGTCATGAGCCTTTTGGCTCTGGACTAATATCATGCATAGTTTGTACTATGTATAAGTAGGTGCACAAGTGCTGCTCAAAATCCTTCTTATGGCACACCTGTGTTGAAACTTGCAGCAGTCTACAGCAAGTTAAAACATATCAATGCTGAATGATTTCACCCATATTATTTTGCATACATGCAAATTATTGTGCATATGTTTATTGCTACATCAGTGCAGGGTTTTGGATCCCTTGTATTTCAAATTAACAAGGGCAGGCAACTGCTGTGGTTCTGACTCTGGCCTGAGTCTGGGTCAGGGCTAGAGTCAGACCCACAGCAGTCTCCTGTCCTTCTTCTGCTCTCCTCTCTGTCCCTTTCCTCCCTTATTGTCACATACTGCTTACTTCATTACTTTCCACGTTATGCTCAGGGAGGAACAGAGCCTGAGCAGGGTCTGGCAGTAAGGCGGGGGTAGGAAAGCTGCAGGAGGAAGCAGTTGGTGGGGGAAGAGGGAAAGGGGGCCACTTGACCTCCCCCACAGCCACTACTTTCCATGCTGTAGCAGTGGGAGGGGGACAAATTCAAGACAACCCTGTGATAATTTGATTCTACAACTGGAAAATTATAACAAATTTATAAATTTTCCATATATAGAATCTAATCATTGGGGCTCATCTTATAATCGAGTAAATATGGTAATACACGCTCATGGGATCCCATGTAGAGGGTCATGCCCTCCATTACTCTGGATGTGGCTATGCTGCTTTCAGTTTAGAAATTAATCTGTCCAAAGCAGTGCTGCATGCTTGATACTACCATGGAATGTATTAGTTTATGCTCCAGCACATACCTGGGTAACTGTAGAGCTTTTACTGTATAGACATGGCCAAATAGATTATTACTTCATAAGCTTTTATATGACATGCCCTCCAGGAGAAAACAAAACACCAAATATCCATTTTATTTGCTTATTATAGACTGCCCAGAACTTCATATTCCCCACACCGCTTCCCACTGCCCTCCTGCAAACCCCACATCCCCCCAGCACACCCTGCATGCAGCTGCCAGATAAGATGAGACCTAATGGCAGGAGCTGTGGCTGCAGGGGCAGATGTCCCCACATCCTGGTCGGTGAAGGGGTAAGGGGGGGGCTCTAACTGCTCTATGATAAGAAAACCAAAGGCAAACAGCAAAACATATAGGTATTTAGAATTAATTTTATTATGATGATAAAGACACTGGTGGGCTTCCAAATTGCTTTAACATTGTAGATATATCAATAAAACATTGCCCAACTGATCACTTTCTCTCTGTCTCTCTCTCTCTACATATATAGTGATCTTTTGTTTTAATTGTGGAAGAACATGGATTTTGGTATCTTTTACAGAGTGACTTTGGGATTTTTTTATCTGGGATTTTTCAGTTTTTACATAGGGAACACCAGAATTCCTGCTAGTGAGGCAAATGGCAGTACCCAGGCAGAGAAGCCTGGTCAGAGCTGGCAACCAGGACCCAACTGGAGGTGGCTGACCTCCTGGCCAGTTGGGGCCAGGAGGACATGGTCTGACAGTTCAAAGCAGGCCACCGCACTGAGAACATCTTCTGGGTGATAGATACCCAGATGGCCAGGCAGAGGCACACATGGCAGTAGTGCCTCACAAAGGCCAACTCTGTAGCCACAGCCCACTGGCAGGCGGGCCCGAAGGG